TGATTACTAATTTTCTAAAACTGGTCTGTTTTTTACAACGTAAATCCTTCAAAGGTACATCAAGTGGCAAAAACATTAAACATTTTACATTATAAACAAATAAAACCAACAAAGGTTAGCCATTAATAAGCCAAAAATAAAAAAATCAGAGAAAACATTTCTTCTATCTTAATTGTTAATGTACTGTTTTCATACATTTCAGTTCTCAGTAGGTATTGTTACACAGTGTGAATAAATATATTTTGTGTTCTATTTTTCTACCTCTTTACGTAATCACGTTTTCATGAATGTGATGATAAACACATCAGTATTCTTAGATAAAAGTTGAAGCCACCATACAAGTTTTAAGTTCGTAATAAACCTTTGCACTACACCTTTATTTACGTATGATCCACACCCTAAAGTAGAGACAGTACAGAAGCTTGAACAAACAAGTATAAGCTTCTCTTTTGAATGACCACTGTTGCATGTAACCTTACCAAGAACGAGAATTAAATAAAAGTTACGATTGCTTATATATTATTCACAAAGCCGTTAACCAAATTCAGGGTACTTAGTTAAAACATTTACAGATATGCTCTTGAATATACTTGAGAAATTATCTATTGTACTATAATTAGAGAAAGTTAAAATCTGAGAGTTATATTTGCCAAATTAGGATTATTTTTCCTAATTTTGGAATATCCTAATTCCAATTTTTCAAATTGTGTTTTTCATTATCGTTTTGCTCATAATTGGTTGTTTGTTTTGAATTTCACGCAAAGCTATACGAGGGCTATCTGCGCTAGCCGCCCCCTAATTTAGCAGTGAAAGACTAGCGAGAAGGCAGCTAGTCATCACCACCCACTGCCAACAATTGGGCTACTTTTTTACCAACGAATAGTGGTTCGTTATTGATTATTTGTATTCAGTGACCTCAGTTTTAGAATGAAGTCGATTCATATCATTGTGCGTGTTTCTCGGAATATGTATTTACAACAATGCTAATCTATATTATAGTTGTTCAAATGTTACTTATATTTTATTGCATATCTGTGAATGGAAGAATCCGTCGATTTCCAGCTTCGAAAATCACACCAGGAAGCATTAATTTGAAAAACAAAATCATAAAAGTGTTTGATTTAAAATTATTTTAACTGATTTCTTTTTAAGTTTAATATAGGATACTTTTTTAAAGATGCGAAAAATAATATAATAATAGTACTGTTACATTAAATCTTGGCTATGAGAAGTTAACAAATAATGATGTTGTATTTTTAAAACACCTACTACGCTAGCTAATAATATTTCTGTATGAGATAAAATAAATGGCTATCTGGATTAGAAGTCATATTCACCTCATGTCAAATTAAATTTTTCTTTGTGTCTGTGTTGATTAACATATTTATAAAACGAAAGTCCGAAATGACGTTAAAACTCATCTCATTAACAACATCAGTTTTACCACGTGCATTTCAAACATTATTTGGATAAATGAGCTGAAATGACGAACATTATATTAAAGTATTAAGAATGAACAGGAAGCAGATTTTGCAAACGCGATTAATATGAACTACATGTTATAATGATATTTATTGTTGTTGCTTTTATGTTACGCCTTTTTTAACAACTGCCTGAATTAGTAATGGATTTTATATGCTACTCACCAGGCGATGTTAGTGAGCTACAAGACAATTTCTTGCAAAGAAAAAGAAAGGATAAATGAGTTTTTTATGTACCTCAAATTCATCATAAGACTACGTGTTTATCTTGAAATGTTACCATTGTTAAGAACGAAAAAAAACCAGAACTTAAAAGATCTTTTATGTCTTGTTTAGGAAGTAAATTGTTAAAAGGAGAACTGCAGACATGTCGTTTCAACCATAATCGTTGGTTTCATCATTATTTAGTATGTTAGTCCAATAAGTCTCAGTATGTAACTACAAATATGAAGTGAGACTTACGTATTATGATTCGAAAATCTGATATAAAAGTAGAAACAAAAATAATTATAGCAATACTCAACACACTTAAAAGTATAGAGGTCGTTCGATAGTTACTCTCATCAACGTTATTGCCCTTCGATGAAACAGCTGTAAAACTACGGACTTACTTTGCTAAAATCCGTGGTTCGATTCCCAGCCGTGGACATAGCAGATAGCCCAATGTGGCTTTGCTTTAGAATAAACGAGCAAACAAATTAACGTTCTTAAATAATTTTAATATCAAATATCTAATGAGCATAAAGATGTTTGATAAAATTTATTTTTTCTTGTTGAATACTAAGGTAACCTCAATACGTGTACGTTAAAACACATTGCTGGAAACTTAGAACTCTTAAGATGATGTTTATTGTTTGTTTGGGTTTCTTTGAAACGCTACACAACGGATTGATTATTTGTGCTGTATACACCACAAGTAACGAGCCCTGATTTTTAGCGTACAAGACCTCAAGCTTACCACTGAGCCACTAAATGGTCGAAAAATACATTTATCTTAATGGAAAAATAATGCTTATTATTGTTCAGTGCTCATAATTAAAGCTTTTTACATGCCTGTACGTAAGTGGGAGTCCGGCCGAACCCTCTATTTTTTATGATGTAAAAACAATACTCTTATGTAATTATAGCGCAGATTCTTGTGGTTGTTAACGTTTTCTACATAGTCTACATTCTCCTGATGAAGCATTAGCATTTTTTCTGTATTGAAATAGTCGCATGCAATGGCTTCTGTTAACACTTTGTAATTGGAAGTCCGAAACCGTATTGCTACTGTCAGGTTTTATAGGTCGGATTCTTTACAGTAGGTGTCTGTGACTTGTTGGCGATAAATTTCAACAATAAACAAACAGCAACACAGTCTACTTGTTTTAAAATAATATATTAAAACAAATCAAACGTATATACAAATGCTCGTTACACTGTTGGCTATTACAGTTGTATCCAGAGCTTTAATTAATTGTCTCTTTTTCGTCAAAGTCCACATAGGCTGAATACTTACCTGAGGTGTAACGAATCGAAGAAAGATTTTAATACATAATCATTATGACACTGCTATCAAAATTGAAACTGTGCGTAATTTATTTATGGAAAAGCACCCCCAGAAGAATGGAGCATGTTATTTCAGTAGTGCATACATGTCCGTATATGATAGCCAATGATTGAAATAGCTAATATACTATTGTTATACAAAGTTGTTTAAATTAGTAATATAATTTAACCATTAATAACTACTCTGCATGTAGATAGTACAACACGCTACTATAATAAAACATACATATTTATGCAAATTTAAGTCTAGCTCCCATGCAGTGTTACAACAGAATGGTGATTTGTTGACTTTTCATTGGATGTTTGGATTTTATGTGAACAGCCATGCAACTGTTGAATCTATATTTCATGAAAAATTACTTCCAGATTTAATCTCATGGCACCTATTCTATACAAATTTTCTGTTGGAGGGTGCCCCCAGACTCCCGTACTATTAGCATGCTGATTGTGCTTAGCACGATATGTGTTGGCGTACGGGTCTGTTTTATGGTTCTATTGGAAATATAATGGCCTTTATAATTCAGTTGTCATAAGTAAACCTACTATGACTCTTTTGGAAAAGTAACGCTTTTTATAGTTTAGGTGGTTATGATCAAAAGTTTATGGTTCTATTAGAAAAGTAATGCTTGGTATAGTTCAGATATAATTAAAGCTTTTTATGGTTCTAATTAAACAAATTGATTGAAAAATCGTGTATGTTATGCTAATAAAACAATTGTGCATATATTCAAATACTAATATGAAAATATCATAGTAGAGATTTAAACGACTATTTATACCATAAGCAGGAGAAAGCGACAGAGTAAATGTTTCTTATTAGTTTTACTTTAAATTTTATTAAAACTGAGTTCATAACATAAGTTATTTAAGGATATTTGTAATCACTAGAAAGTATCATATGAAACATTTTTAGTGCAGAGGCTAATAAATTATTTTTTTTATCATCTGTGTGACAAGTATGTTATGAATCAAACACATTTGTTTATTTATTAAAAAAAAGAATCTAAGAACAGCTGAAGTGTTTTGAAAACTTTGAGGGCATTGGAAACAAAACTGTAAACGTTATAAAAATCACTTTGATGGTTTTCAAAAGAAGTTATAGCAGGTTCTGCTAGGTACAACTCATTAAAAGCATTATATTCCAGATATCTTACAATACACAGGAAAGTTACCATTTAATTTTTTAAATATAATTTTGCCACAGTTTACTTTGTCATATTACATGTCGATTTTCAGCGAAACCAGGAGAGATAAACGATAAGCAGATATATAATTATGTTCCTCTGAATGATTTTGTATGCTTAAGGTAACAAATGCGAAATGTTGTTGTTCCTCAACAGTCTTAATGTCCTTTTATACAAGTGGGTTCGAATCCCACCAACATGCTCGCCCTCTCAGCCGTAGGGGCATTATAAGGTTACGGTCAATCCCACTGTTCGTTTATAAAAGAGTAACCTAAGAGTTGGCGGTGGATGTTGATGACTAGCTGCCTTCCCTCTAGTCTTTCACTGCTAAATTAGGGACGGCTGGCGCAGATAGCCCTCGTGTAGCTTTGCGCGAAGTTCATAACAATCATAACCTTTTCTACAAACACTTACGTGCATGATGATTTACTAACGGTGTTTTTTTTTTTTAGCATTTCATGAACAACCTAAGGAATATTATATCGAGGGACGTTTAGAAAGGATCTCATTTGACTGACTTTATTTTGGGGTAACATGTGGTCTAAAAGGTGTTATGCTGATAAAGTCAGTAGCAAACACACCCACTTTATGAGAACGAATTTCGTCTGACTTTAAACGTTTTCTTTTATTTAGCCAGATTGTAATATATTTTCTAGTTTAGAGTCTTAATCTATAATCTACAGAGTATCAAAGAATCGTAAAGACACAAATATAAGGCATTAATCGTTAATTCTTTTTATTTTCACGTTTACAAATAATAGATATACAAATTTTCCTTTTAACGAAGCAAGTGAATCAATTCTTTCACAAGATAAAAACAAAACGCACACATGCGATGTAAATCATCATTTTATTTGTGAGACTTATGGAAAGCTGCACAAGAACAAACACTGATTTTAGTAATTTATACTAATTCATACAGACAAACGTACGGAGCGTACCAGTCTTCACGCTTAGACAGATCGAACCTTGCATTCAAATACCTTAACACGTCGCACTACAAAATTAGATAGCAAGTAATTTTGAAAGGCACAAATCATAAATCGTCTTTGCAAGTTATATTTCTAACATGAGATAATTATAATATTTTAATTCCTATCAACAGTAATAACAATTTTCGACGATTCAAATGTTAAAAATACAAAAGTCTGTCAAAGCCAACATCGACCTGTTGTTATACATGTTATACATCAAGCTCTATCAGATCGGAAGTAAAAATAATAATGGCTGTAAGGGAAAGTGGTAATGTTTTCGGCAAATGGTCTTTATGAAAATCGAAAAATTAAAGGGGGCGCTAACGTGATTTTTGTCATGTTGTAATTATATTTTTAATTAATTAGATTGACAACTGAAGCTATCTAGCATATTGATTTATTTAAGCTAATATCATCTCTAATACAACATGGCGGAAATATACAATGGCCTGAAACACGGCATCATAATTGTTGTCTGTAGTTTCATTAGGTGCTATTTCTACAATACCCTAAAGTAGGCTTAAAGAAATTCGTTTATAAATTCTGAAATAATCTAGTGTATTGCTGTGTATTTCTGTTGGGTCAGGAGTATTTGGAAAACAACAAAAATCAGTTACTATACTGTGAAACAAAGTAGTATAGTTACCGTGTATTTAGCTCAATAAGAAATATAACGAAACTTCACAAAGATTCGAAGCACATTGACCTTTGTTTGTCTGTTTTCAAATTATTTCACTCAAGATTTACTTTGAATCTGAAATTATTTTCCAATAAACATAAAACTCAAACGCTTTTGAGAGGCATGAGACTTCTAATTGTTTAAATTGACCCATCATGTTTCACCTACAGATTACTTTTTTTACAATGTTTACAATCACTAGTATTTCACTCTGTATCTATTAATACAGATAAATACATAAAAGTTCGAGCTCATATGTGTAATACACAAGTTCACACAAAATGGTATTAATTGTCACATATTCAATAGGCACAATGAGAATGTGACGTCATAGGCAGTTGACAGACAATGATGTTAAAGGCAATGAGGCAAGGTAAACAATTATCTTAAGTCTCGTTGGAACAACGACCAGTGCTTTTGAGCATATATACAATGTTCGTCGAAAGGGATTCAAAGGAAACATTTGTAGAAATTCACGACAAAAGTATTGAACATAGTGAAAAATACTAAATCGAAGTATGTCTGAATAACAAAAAATGCCTTTCTATATTACCAATATCTTTAAACACTTTACTTTTTGTCTTTAAAGCATGACTTTTCTCAATTAGTTTGAACCTGTATAAACCCCAAGTCTGAAACCTAAAAAAAAAACAGTTTCTTTGTCTAACTTTTTCTAACCTAACTGCTAGGTTTTTAATTCATTGAGAAAGATCATGACATGCATCTCTAAGAGAGGATAAAAAGTAAGGCTCGTACGTGATTAAAATTTTAATTAAATGAACACCTTTATAGCTTTATTTCTTTATTAATGTTTTTACCAAAAAATGTGCCACTTGACAGACTGGAATCTTTCATATCACGGCATAAGAGTTAGTGTTCTGCAATATATATATATTTCAGTTAACAAGAAATTAGAGACTTCTAAAACGTTATTTTACAAAGATATTATTTCTTTATTTTTACTCATAAGTTGCTTCTTATCCAATATTGGTCATATATTGTAGTTGTGTGTGTTAACAACACTGTGATAATCAAGTATTGTCGTTTGGTGTATCAACAACACTATAATAATCAAGTATTGTCGTTGTGTGTGTCAATAACACTATGGTAATCAAGTATTGTCCTTGTGTGTGTCAATAACACCATGATAATGAATTATTGTCGTTGTGTGTGTCAATAACACTATAATAATCAAGTAATGCCCTCATCTTACAAAGCTTAAAATAAAATTTGTTGTTTTCATGTTTTGTTTTCTCTTTGCTTAATAATAATAAAAAATAGAACAACCTTTCAAGAACGCATGAATTCTCTAAAGGTTGTTATTATGTGATATGGATCATTATTCAACTTTTAGGAAACTCAACGGTTAAACAAGGCATCAAATTGTTTATACTACTATCTATTCTAAAACATCGCTGTTTAAACCGTTCTTTATGTCTTTGTTTATTATCAAGAACATACTATGTTTCTTGATTATGTTTAATCTTCGTCCAAGTTCTACCTGGTCTGTAGCGTCATATTTGTGTAAAAATAGAAAGAGAGGGTAATAAATACGTGTAAAGTAACTTACACGTAACTTTCTGAGGGTGGTAAACAGTTGTAAAGTAACTTACACGTAGCTTTCTGAGGGTGGTAAACAGTTGTAAAGTAACTTACACGTAGCTTTCTGAGGGTGGTAAACAGTTGTAAAGTAACTTACACGTAACTTTCTGAGGGTGGTAAACAGTTGTAAAGTAACTTACACGTAACTTTCTGTGGGTGGTAAATAGTTGTAAAGTAACTTACACGTAACTTTCTGAGGGTGGTAAACAGTAGTAAAGTAACCTACACGTAGCTTTCTGAGGGTGGTAAACATTTGTAAAGTAACTTACACCTAGCTTTCTGTAAAAATTCAAGAGGAGCCGCCTACTTCGATTCATATATATATATATATATATATATTAATTCATTTTTTCTTAACTCGATCAATCATTTTAAATTGTGTTACAACACATAACGGAACAATTAAAACACTTAACCAACAACTGCTTAATCAGCACAATATTTGGTTACTGGTCACTTTTTGCAGAAATCACTTTTGCTTTCCTATAAACGAAAAGGTTAAGATTAAGAAGAATAAACCGATCATTTGTTTCTCTGTCCAATCGAACCAAAGCGCTTATTAAGTAATCAAAATTAGGTGAAAAGTAAGACACAGACAGCTTGCACGCCATTTTAGAGTGTTAGAAATAAATTCCAAACACAGTTTTATCAAAATAGTTTTTTTTTCGATTTCTCTATACAACTTAAGGCTAAACTACACTATATATAAAACTAACTTCTAATACCTAAAATGCATGCATGTGTATTTCAAATAACAAGCCCATAGAAAGGAATATTTACTCATCAAAACTCAAGTTATTGGAACAAATAACTTAGAAATGTTGGTTTATTATTAAGTAGAAGAAATATGAGAATCACGTTTAAAACTGAATTTAATAATTGTATATGTGACTGTAGATTGAGTCAGAATCATCAAATTCTCCAACATGATAATGTTTTAGCGCCATAATTGAAGCGCCTAAACTTTAATGTATAGTTGAACGGAATTTTATAAAACTTGATGTCAGCTACTTGTATAAATAACAATTAAAAGTTGAAACGTCTAATAGCTAGAAATGAATCTCTTTTGCATAGTTTATTGACTGTACATTCAAAATGTAAACAACTGTAACACTTCACACGTACGTAGAATTGTTACTAATAGTGAATAACGTGTATGATAAGCAAAACAGTATTTTTACAATATAGAAGACATAATTTTTAAGTTGAAAAATATTTATTACAAAGATAAACTCTAGTAAAATGCGTGTAAATTTTCAAGGATGTTTTCATAATGTAATGTATTTTTAAACAACTGCTACGAAATATTTGATATTATCTTTTTTTTTCTCGATATAAACAGCAATGTATGATAATATAGCCTTATTTATTGAGTACTTGAAAAGTTCCCGTACTTTAACGTACTGAAAAATCCTAATAACAAAGACGAGAAGAAAAAAAAGATCTACATTTCTAGTGCACTTTGGCTTCAATCCACAAGAATTTCAAAATGGACACTGCCAAGTCTTTCCTTTCGATCATAGGCCATATTAGAAGCCCATCCTTTGCATTCCACATTGATGAGGATCCCTTTTACAGGCATCTCTAGATGAATGAAGATGAATGGTGACTGATAAGAAGGCAAATTAGTGAACGGGAAATAGTAGCTTGGAATGCCCTGGGATGGATAATAGCTAATAGGGCCGATGTTCTCCCTGTCTGCTGGATTCTGGAAAGGTAGAAAACAGAGTTTTCTCTTACTAAGATAAATAGTAGAAATTCCATTTCTCCAAGGATTAATGCGGTTGATGATGGCCAAAACAGTATATGACAGTGATTTTAATGATGAATGAAATGAAAAATTCGTCAAATAATACGAACGGTTTCTTATTGTGTATATTATATAAATAAATAAATATATATGTATTACTAAATTAATTTGTTCTTTCCTTTTATACATAATGCCCAGGGAAACAAATAGATGTAAGATCATTCCGTTCACTTTATATGTACCTTAGTAATTATAATAGGTTTATAATAGGCTTGTCTATTGAGATTTGAGCTCTTTGTACAATTTAGTGTTAACTAGGGGGATAACAAGTACATGTTTGTAGAAAATAAAGTCTAATTCCTGATGCGTAACCAGCAAGTGGTCAGAAATTGTAAATAACTAATTTCTTATTTAGTACACTTACTTCTCCTGCACACGTGATGTACACAAAGCGCGGGTCATAGTTCTGCTTCAAATCCTCTGGCATGTCTTCTGGAAGAGATTCATTGTCGAAAGGCTCTGGTACCCAGTCGTAGATCTGCCAACGTACAGTTTCATATTGTCAGTGCTTTGCCTTACCTTTAATTATATCTAAAATATCTAATAATACATAATGAGACCACAAAAGTCAAATAAGGCCTTAAAACTGTATAGCTGAAACATATTTATGCATTTTCTGACATAAAGTTGTTTTTATTGTTAATCGTTCCTATTATAATTCTCTACTTTGCAGCGACAGTGGATAAAGTTCCTGATTAAAACACATCGTCAATCTTTCGATATCGTCACTTTAGACACTTCCGTACATGTTCCGGTAGCACCTTGCCTTTGCTTGTTCTTGTATATTGTCTCTTTCAAGTTAAGCACAAAGCCACACAATGGACTACCTATGCTCTGCCCACCACGGGTATCGAAAACCGATTTCTATCGTTGTAGCTCCGCAGACATACCGCTGTGCCATTTGGGGGCGTTCTTGTTTAAATAAAATCATGAAGCAAAGTCAGAGTACAGAATGGGATCAGGCTTAATATGTTCATTTTCAACGGAAATCAACAGCGAAATAAAAAGCCAATTGCACATAATTAAACCTAATGAAAACTTTGAAGAACATTAAAACCAAGATATTCACGCCTTTGTTTAAACGATCAGACATGTTAATGGAATATTGTTCACTATGCTTTATATTCTATTGCTAAATATTAGTTTTATTAGACGAAGGTATATAAGTCATAAACTTTTACTGTAAAAATTCCGAAGTCATTTTATTCTCAAAAAGAGGCATGATTATGCATTTTGTGCCGATATTGATGTACATTTGCGATGCACGTACCGATTGTGATTGTGCAAAAAAAAAAAAAAAAGCTTCACCCTACAAAACATAAACAAAAATATAAATTGTAGTTTTAGGTTTAATTTATCAATTGATATAGATTTTTGTTTTGGTGTAAATATTCGATTTATGCTCAGTATAGGTCATGTTGCGCATGACAAGCATGACTTTCAAAATCGATACTGCTAACTTGTATGCGACATTGGTTTGTTTGTTTCGGATATTCACGCAAAACTACATAAGGGCTATGTCCTTGATTCCGAACCTATAGACTAGAGCGAAAGCAGTTAGTCAACAGCAGTACACGGCTCCAAATGCGGAGTGCGATTTGTTTTTGCGGAATCTGGACGTCAGCCATAGACCCTCAGATCCATAGTCCGGAACGCTAACTCTAGGCTACTCTCGGCTCGATCTAACATTGAAGTTTCAACATTTAATATAACATTAGATTGTGATCGAAATGTTATTTTACGTTAGGCTAAATATTTTTGTTAATTTTACCCGGTTGAGCTTGATGAGAACACATGGATGTCCAGTTTCATAACCATATGACTGAGCAGAGGTGCAGTTAACGGGAATAAGATCCATGGGGTAATGACAGACCTTCCCTTTACCAGGGCCTTGGTCAAAACCGCAAGTGCTTGACAGATTTTCGTCTTGGTGCTTCCCTTGATAAGCTGTAAAAGAAAGAAATTACTGTAATATAAGCATTTAGTCGAATGATTAGGGAATGTTATTACAAAACTCGTGGAACCCATATGTTTGAAATTACCATATGCGATAAATTCATCAAACAGAGAATGATTTCTTATAATCAGTAACATATACAACTCGGTATGAATTTCACTCGTCGCAGCTTCTTCGGGCATTATCTCGTTTTTTACGTCAATCGTAACGCGGTCCTGTTAGGAATCCTGTAAAGGAAACTTCGCAGTATCTTTCTTCTAATCTATAATTGCACACCAGAGGGGGGGGGGGAGTTAATTCCTCAATTAAATTGCATTTAAAGTAAGTTTTTAATATATAGAAGTCGATGTTCCCGAAGAGTGATCTAAAATTCAACAATCTGCGTGAAACAAAACTAGAAATTGCAAACTGGGTTTGTCCTCGCACATGTACTTTTAAGAATGATAAGATATCAAAATTAATCTTTTATTTTAGCTTGTACTACCATCCATACAAGATAACTGGCATTCCTCATTCTAAAGGTTCAAGACAAAGAATATTTAACACTAAATACTCACGTTCGAGAAATTCATCAAGCGATTTCACCCAGTGTTTCCAACTTTTCTTTTTGTTATGAGTGATCCAAATAAGACTAGTTGCTGCGTTTTCTTTTGGTGGACGAGGACGGAATCCCAGGCCTAGAGTTAAATTTGTCCATAATTAGCAAATGTGTGTACAACTTTCACTGAATATTGAGACATTGTTTGCTTGTTTGTTTTGGAAATTCCAGCAAAGGTAAACAAAGGTTATATGTATAATCCATCTTTAATTTTGAATTGATAGACTAAAAGAAAAGGCAACATCAATCGCTGCCACATATTAGGTTACTGTAGTTGAATAGTGGGATTTGACCAAAACACACTCACAGTCTCAAAGGGCAGAAGTTTTCATGGTAACGGGACACGAACCATGAACCTTCAGATTCACAGTCCGGCATACTACCTATAGGTAACGCCCAGTCGTTGAAGGTTGTTATGCATGCAATGAGATAGTAGCTTATCGAGGGGGTTTCAGAGGTTAGAACCCTCCCATGGCCATGAGAGACATAAAGTGATTCAGATAACTTTTGGGTAAGAAAAACTAGGCCTAAGTAAAAAAAAAAGCAACAGCCTGACTTGCAACTTTGAGACTGAAAGATGCGGCAGAAGACCACATTGTGTTCTTTTTCAAAGAAAGTTCCGAGTAACGATGTCGAACAGGGAACTGTAATTATTGAATAATCTGTCTTTGGTCCGCCCTAAGCAGTATGTCGATCAAAAATTATCATGATTCATGAACTTATGTCAGAACAGGGTACATTGGTTACTTACATGAACTAAAATAACATAGTTTGTTTCCAGCATAGGCCTCTAATTCTTTCCTTAATTATCTGATTGTGTCTCTATTGATAAATAAGAGGAATGAGTCAGATTCTGTCCGACCAGGCGAGTGGTTTTTATATTTTAGATTAAATTTCTGTCAGGGTCATTGGGGTGATTTGGACCACATGCTTACATATATAAATGTAAATTTTAAATCAGAGTATATTTTGGATGAATGTCTATTAAAATATATGTAGATTAAAAGGAATAATCAGTGTGTACTGCTCCAGCATAAGCTAAGCGTTACGAGCAGCTATAGCTCTTCCGCTCATGATAACGACTTAATACACCAGTCATTTCTTGTTTGTATTACAGTTGAATAAGGATACGCAGTTGGAGCTACTTCATAATGCGTGAGTTCCTCAGGTGGAATTCATATTCCCAGCGCAAGGGAAATGCAGTCTAGAAATCCAGCGCAATTGAAATGGCTTGCATACAGCCAGACTCAAAACGGCGCTCTTTGCAAGAACTATTCTAGGTTCGCACTAGAACGAGCAGATGATGGAAGTCCGCAATCGAGAAAGTTCGTGAAGGTTCCAATTACAAACTGGAAGAATGCAATTGAAGAGTTCAATGAGCATGGGAGAACCAAATACCACAAGGGATGCATCATGAGTGCAGAAAATATGTTGGCTGTTAGTGGGGGAAAAGGTGGATTCTATTTAACTTCAGACAGATATTGGTGTGAAAACAGTCGAGTTTTGTTCGTGACCCAAACGGTCATTCTCAACAGTCAACAGGACTTACCAAATACCTGCAAAACTGTGACAAAAACTACTCGTACATCAAATCTCAAATACAAAAACCTATTTATTCGCAACGAATTAGTGAAGAGAATTAAATCCGCTCTGTTTTTTGCTGTCCTTATTGACGAGACGACGGACATCTCAGGTGCGGAATAGTTCTTGCTGTGCATCCTTTACATTTACGAGTTAAAGAAGAGCATTCGAGAACACTTCCTTCAATTCGTACCAGTTCATGTCGTTACTGGAGAAAATCTGGCTACTGTGATCTTAGACAACCTGAGGGAATTTGAGGTCGACATGAGCTATCTTTGTGGAAAAGGTTACGAGCGGGCACTTCAATGAAGTGGACAAACACATTGCAGAGCAGGTTTGACACCCCCACCCCCTCCAAGGTGGATTAGAGAACCAGTATTTTTAATCTTGCTGTCTTCAATACGTGCACTGAGGTGTCCGTGAAGAACGTCATCAGTACACTCGGCAAGCTGTCTTTGCCAAAGCTGTGGATGAGAAAATAACCACTACAAGTCGAACCCGCCTAAAGCAAATTTTGTAACGTTGATTGTTACTAGCCATTTGGAAGCTGATCAAAACCCTTGCCACGCTGTCCGGGTTAACAAGTTCCATCAAAAAGCGAATATCTTAAAAACTTATTTTTTGTGACATGACATAGCTATATTTCCCCACCTGGGTTTCCTTTCCACACTTTATAGTTAAACTGTGGCTTTTCTATTTTTCAATTTGCATATACTTTTTTTAAAATTATGTTTCTTTTGTTGTTGGCAAATCTTCCTCCAACTCAAATACATCTACGAAATATAACTGGTCAAAATCGTCTGAACGCTCAGAGCTGCTCAACGACTATCGCGACCTTTGCGTTTGTGTTGAAGACATCCTGTCCTACTTGGCGAGAAGGCCTTGAAGGCCTAACTTTCGTTTGACGCATTATCTTCTTAATGACAATGAGGCTTTTTATATGAGCCTAACTCATCCTACTATGTTAGTAATGACCTTCAGTGGCTTAAGTCGCACATGATTTTGTTCATAGTATGTTGTTCTTATTTACTATTTTCTTTTTAAGGTAATTTTAGGAATGTGTGTATGTATTCCTTCTGATTAAAAAACATTGCTATGCTATTCTGACAGAATACATGTTTCAATGTTAGTAAGGAGGAGTTTGCCTGATGGACAAGATCATCCCCTTGTGAAATTTCTAGCTACGGATTTGCAATGAAATTTCTAGCTACGGATCTGCAATGAAATTTCTAGCTACGGATGTGCAATGAAATTTCTAACTACGCCTCTGCAATGAGAATATCTTGTTTGTTGTTAAGCGAAAACTACTACTTAATGGGCTATCTGTGCTGTGCCAACCACAAGTATTGAAACCCGATGTTTAGCGTTATGAACCTTCAGACTTAGTGCTGAACCACTTAGAGTGGAGGTGAGAACAGCAAAAAAACAACAACAAAAAACAAAAAAAAAACAAGATTGTGTAAAATTTAGTAGTTCCCAAAGAGAAATTGCCACTTTCTTGCATATCTGAATTAGAAGCCCCCCCCCCCCAGTGGCACAGCGGTATGGCTACGGAGTTACAACGCTAGAAACCGGGTTTCGATACCCGTAGTGGGCAGAACACAGATAGCCCATTGTGTAGCTTTGTGCTTAACTTCAAACAAACAAACAAACTGAATTAGAAAAGTATTTATGTCATGTTATTTCATAATTTGGTGATTTGTAATATTTCTTCTTAAAGCTAAAGAAGTTTTTATACTATATCGGACGCAGAAGGTTTGGTTTTTGCAATTCTATAAGGTCTACAATGAGCTTTACCTGCTCTTTTTAGTTTGTTTTTTTTATAATTATCTTATAAACTGATCTTCTTTTGATTTTTATAGCAAGTGTACTAAAAGGTGTTTGTCTATTTACACATGCATAACTTCGATCTTATTTTGTTAGGGGTAGACATTATGACAGTATTGTAAGTATTTTGCCAGTAGTTATATATATCAGAAATATTTTAACAACAACAACAAAAAAAAGGGAGATGTTATTTAAGCCCTGAGCTATAAAATTGGTTATCTGCGTCGTACCTACTGCGAATATGGACCCCCTGATTTTTAGCGTTATAAACCCTCAAGTGTTCTCTCTTTATAAGTTTATTAGAAAGTAGATTTGTAAATGAAATGTTAACCATATGTTTTTAATAGTAAGATTAACACATATTTTAAGATTAAACGAAATAAGGACGATTGTTTTTGTTTTCAGTTATATTAATACTGCACGGTATCAAAATATATGAATTAATAATATGTCATCGTAAAATGATCTGATTCTGAGGGCTGTTTCTGTGTATGGGTAAGAACATGCTTTTGAAAAGTATATTTTCCCAGTAATAAAAACATAACGACTTACAAGAAAACTGAAAATATAGCTGTAATTTTTGTAATTATAACTAAATGGTAAATACTTAAATTTAAGCACTTCACTTACCAGGACTGTTTCCAATTAGACTAGCGGTGAGTCTCCAAGTAGGCTTAGTGTCGTCTACTGTCTGATAGAACGCTAGAAGCAAGCCTGTCCAAAAGGCGACAAGACAGGCGTAGTAGATTATGTAGAATATCACAATCTTCACTGAAAGATATTACAAATCCATCTTACACACACGTATTTGTGATAGATTAAATAATTTTTCATTTTAAAGATACCGAAATATTAATTTCATATGCTATTTATTATCTATGATTCTAACTTAGAAGTAGCCCATAAACTAGATGATACATTTAACTGAAAATCACCTTAGAGTTTACGTACTTGCAGCAAAACAAACAAGCCTATTGTTCTGAAAGTTTTACCCGTGATGCATTTGATTTCTAAAATATAATCATAATATGTCTAAAACATAATTATTGTGACTGTAGCACACACACACACACACACACACAAAATAGTTTTAATATTTAAATGTTAATGAATAAGTTTAATCAAACTACTTTTGGCTTATTTTTGAAAGTTTTGTATTTATATCCAAAGTTACAGAATGTATTATTTGTGCTGTGCCCAGCGCGGATATCGAACCACGACTTTTAACAGTAAAATCCATCAATCTTACAGCTGAGCCAGCAGGGGACATCTTTTGCAGAAAAATTTCTACCTGACCAATAGAAGTCAGTATCATCAAAGTTTTCATTTTCCCTCTTAGCTTCACTCTTGTAAAAGATTACATGATAGGCACAGCACAGATAGCCCATTCTATAGCTTTGTCAAAAACAAACAAACAAACTGTTTAAACACCACTGTTCTAAGTCATTTACCACACTAAAATATAATGCTCACCACATGGTATATGACAAAAAAAACTGTTTAAAATACCACTGTTGTAAGTCATTTACCACACTAAAATATAATGTTCACCACATGGTATATGACAAAAAAAACTGTTTAAAATACCACTGTTGTAAGTCATTTACCGCACTAAAATATAATGTTCACCACATGGTTTATGACAAAAGCAAACAAATAAATAAACCTAAGCCTCAAACAGTATAAACTTAAAACTACTTTAAATATTACGAGAGCATGAAAATCGTCAGCCACGTTTTCAAATGCAAACGGAATCTCCATATTAGGTGGGGAATCCAACCCATAGCGATGGAGATCTCACTATATGTATATGTTATAGTATCACAATCAATCAAGATGTAACCAACTTATAAACAGTTAGGATTTTATTAGATACTTAAATTCACTCGAAAAAATATAAAAAAGCCTGGTCTACTTTCTTCAGCCAATAGACTTGGTAAAGGCATTGAAGCACGATTTCTATAAGAAACATTAGCTGTCATGCAGCTTTTAATAATGTTAACATAAAATGGTTTATGATCAAGTTCTGAACAGCTGGGTTAATCATAAGGCTGTAATGGAACACCCAAGTAGCACTTACACAGCTCAGGATCTCATGGTATTTCAATTTATTAATTTAAACCGTATTCGGACTATGGATTCAATGATTTATGCTTCGCGTCTTCTTGGGACCGTAGGTACGCTATAATAGTGATGGTCAAATCCCACTATTTGGTCAAGTGTAGCTCAAGAGTTGGCATATAGCCCTTCTTGTAGCTTTGCGCGGAAATTCTGAAACAAATCAACAAAAACGTAACATAGCTGTGACATTAGGTATGAAATTTTGTAGGTATGAAATGTTGTAAGTATGAAATGTTGTAGGTATGAAATGTTGTTGGTATGAAATGTTTTAGGTATGAAATATTGTAAGTATGAAATTTTGTAGTACGTATGAAATGTTGTAGGTATGAAATGTTATAGTAGGTATGAAATGTTGTAGTAGGTATGAAATGTTGTAGGTATGAAATGTTGTAGGTATGAAATGTTGTAGTAGGTATGAAATGTTGTAGTAGATATGAAATGTTGTAGGTATGAAATGTTGTTGATATGAAATGTTTTAGGTATGAAATATTGTAAGTATGAAATGTAGTAGTACGTATGAAATATTGTAGGTATGAAATGCGAGACTCAAGATTGAAAGCACACTCTTTGATGTATAATGTAATTTGAAACCTCGCATCCTTAAGCCTAATCTCAGTAGTTTGTTCGACACTTTAAATCTGGTAATAAATAATACTTATCTTTGTGGTCGAGTTTATTGTTCTCGACTAACAGTTGTTTCTTTTTTTCAAACCTTGTAATTTTTGCAGCGTTTAAACAGTTAAACCCTATATGTGTTCACTACAACAATCGACGGGCATCGACAAGCATCAAGCCTGTACTAATGGTTTGCATTTATCTCACTAATACTGTGTACCGTGATACTGATTGTCCCAGACTACATAAACCGTGTGAAACGGGGCAATTGTTTTTAAGTTCTGGTCATCCATTCGTTATTCTACTGCACAACAACTTATGAGCGGGTCACTAATCAAACCATCTTAAAATTTTATAAAGCTGTAGGCTTGTACGTGAAAACGAATTGACAGGTCTTTTAATTATGGTTCTGTAGATAGACAATATGCTGGCAAACGATACTACAAGGTGGTCCAAAACTTAGCTGCTATCACATGTAAATATCTTGTGTATGGATAACATTTGATTTGCAGCAACAAAACTTGTTGGTCCTTTGACAGTCATAATTACGTATTGCTCATACTGTTAATATGAGTTAGAATACTGCTGTGAGGCAAGTACTCTGTATTATGAAAATAAGTTTATTAATATCAATGTATGTGATGGACAATACTTAAGTTTTAAACATCTTGATGTACATACTTAAATTGTGTATCTTCCAACATGGGACATCACGAACAAAGCTCCTATTTGACTCGACTGGCTCATCAAAGCTAAAGGGCATCATAAGAAACAAAACTGTTTACTTTTTAATTTTGCTGATGCATAAATTCTTTAACACCAATGCTAACTTAATATACAAAAGGTGGTAATTTTCTGTTTATTTTGAATTGTTTTATTGGTTTAACTTATTGTACTTCTTAAATTTGTCAACAGAAGCGCAAGAAAATAATTGCTAACGTCTAGTAATTCAAGTAAATACTTTAATGTTTTAAAATTCACATAACCATAGCAATTTATCACGGCAGATTGCACATTTTCCCCACATTCTTCTTAATTCGTGACAGACAAAAGATAAATCTGAAATGTTAATTTTACATGACTTGTTTGTTTGCTTTTTAGCACAAAGCTACACAATGGCATACCTGCGCTCTGTCCGCAACAGGGGATCAAACCCCGGATTTTAGCATTATAACTCCATGAATTTATCACTGACTATTATTTGAAATCTGTAGAATACGAAAAACGTGATTTTTATCACGGGTATTGAGACTATTGATTTTCCAATATTTCCACCAGCTTTCGGCGCTCAGCACTCTAGGTTTCATATAGTTGTATAACTAAATTAGTGAATTGGTTTATATATAAAAGAAAGTATAAATTATATTCATAATTCCACGGAAATAGAAGGCTTGACATTTGAACGGAACTGCCAATGCATATAATCCAATACAGATTCTAAAATGTTGTAGAACCTTTTATAAGGCTTTCAATAAATATTTGTTATTCAGCTGAGTTAAACTGCATTTAAGGTTATCATAACAACGTTATAAATTTCACAGACGATCCAGGCTAGAGTTTGTTTGTTTTGGAATTTCGCGCAAAGCTACACTAGGG